TTTTGCAAGGTCCTTCTGTAGCGGTTTAGTTTTGTATTATAATTGGACCCTAGAAACTGTTGGCAATTATACTATGGGCATAAGGATCAAGTGGTTTTCTGTCTGTGGGTTTTTAATCTCCCCCCACTCCCCTGTTATATTTGCCTTCTAAATATGTGACAGAATTTATGCCTATGCTTGATGCAAATATTTTTAAACCTACAACCTTGGCCCTGAATCCTGAGCTCTGCAGTAAGTTAATGGCTAGTCTCTCTTACTGGTTTCAGGCTTGGCTACAGTCACAAAATAAATGAACAGTTTGTTTCAGCTTAGCCTCTTGTGGAGGTTTGTTTGCATTATAAAACCATGATGCAGTTTAGCAGACTTCCAGTTTCTAGAGTGGTGTAGTAGGGCTCATGCAGGTCTCTTCTGAGGAATGTCAGCCCTAGTTGTGGGAAGCTTATGCTGTGACAGTACTGGCTAGAGCTAGGAATTATCCCCTACAGGGGAGATAAAATTAAAGCAAAATGTTACCTAAATGAAAATAGAAAATGTTGGATTTTCACGTTCGAGTGTAATGTTGTAATTAAGACTTTAAACTGGACCCTAAGACTTATCCAGTAGAAGTAGTCAAAAAGACTTCAGCTTCAGGATGAGCTGGGCCAAACATAGTGCAAGCTCTGGTACTTGTAGCTACCTTGTCTGTAAATATTTGATATTCTCTTTCTCCCAAAGACAAGAAGCTAAGTTATGGACAAACCAAGGAACTTTCCTCTGTTAGGAAAGGGAATGACAACAGTTGAGATTTAGTTTGATTTCTTGTGTTTCATTCCCAAACATTTTTTTTCTTTTTTTTTTTTCCTTATCTCCAGGCTAATGACCTAAAAATCAATTCAGTTTTTGGAAGATTTTGTTCTTTACAATCCTTTGAAGCCTTTCTGAAATTTGCACATTACTACATTGAATTCTCCCTCCCCTTCCCCCCCCCCCCCCCAGTTATTATTTTGTTGAGTGACACTTGCTCGCATAATTCCTTCATGTTTTTTAGAGCTGGGTTTTGAAGCTACATCAGACTATGAGTTTAAATAGTTAACTCTTGGCAAATGACTTATGTCAAAGCTTTGGCATCTTGTTCTTCAGCAAACCTTTTCAAATTAATAACATGCATCCACCAGATTTATTGCTTTCCAGGCTGAATGCCTAGCGACAGTCTTCTGTGTCTAAAAATGGTTGTTGTTGCTGTTAAGGCCATCTTTTAGGAAATTGTGAGTTTGACATTTGAGTGCAAATATGCACATTATAAAGATACTGGGGACAGAAAAAGTCTTAGTAATGAATTGAAATGTTTTTTGGAAGGATCTTGTTTTATACCCTGAGGCATTAAAAAGATGCTGCTAAAGTTGAGAAGCCTTACCCATTTTTATGTCTATGAAGTACTGGCTAATATGCCACCTGTTAGTTTTACATTGATGTGTGGGGTATAACTTGATGTGCTATTGTGAGGTTTCCATCTTTAAATATTTGCAGGCTTAGGCATTGGTTTTGAAAGCCAAATGTCTAATTAACCAAATAAATGCTGATAGTATTTGTATTCATAGTAATTTCTGCAATTAAAAAATCAATGCATTCATGCAGTGGAGAAACTGATCTTAATATAATATTAACATGGATAATTTTTTTTTCTTCAAGGTTTGTTTTTTTAAACCGAGAAATTAAAATGTGGTAGGGCATGAAACATTCTGAAACTGTGCTTTTCACTAATGTAATAAATGGATGAGTAGGGCAGGTATGCATTTTGAGAGGTGTATTTCTAAATTATTTTTGTCTTGGCAGAGTGGGGTGCGTTTTTCTTGTATAAGGATGTCAGAAAAATTGGTCTGAAAGCTGAGAATTTATTGGGAAATGTTTTTTAGAGTGTTTAGTGTCTTTTTTTTTTTTAACCGGCTGTTGAGCACAGCTTAAGAATTTTTAAACTGAACTTCAATATGAAAAAAACCACCCAACAACCTTTTAGTTGGTTGCAGGATTTGCAGGATAGTCTTGGATTCTGTTCAGTGCACTTTAATTAACCGTATGAGGTAGTAAATTAAAGTACCTCAGACTGACTTGACAGTCAATTAAACCTTGGTTGATTTCATTGAGAATGTGATCATTAATGTAATTGGCCAAAATGACAGGAGGCCCACTTGGAATTGTGCCCACTTGAAATTTTCCTCTAATTCTGTGTATGCAATCCTGGGCAGAAAAATAGACAAATGGAGCTCTATCCTAATGATTTCCAAGGATTTCATGTAGCTGTCTGGAAAGAAGGCAAGCTCTAGCAGGCAAAAATGAAGGAATGGGTTACTTGGGAATCCAGATGGCAAAACCTTTTGGGGTTTATGTTGTGTGAAGTACTTTGAATCTCTTCTTTCATTGTGGGATTTGTGTAGAGTTTTGCGAAGTTCACCATGTGATTTCAATGAAAAGGATGTGTATGTGTGAGGGTGTTGGTTTTTTGTTGTGGGGTTTGGTTTGGTTTTTTTTTGTTATATAGATTGAGAGACTATGTTGAGAGCTGATTTTTGTTAACGGTATCTGGATACTTATTAGTTAGGCTTTTCCTCCTGTTTAAGATCGCTTACTTAACTTGGTATCTTCCTCTAGTTAAGACAACAGCGATCTTCCCTATTTTGTTCTTGCATGTATCTTGCTTTGCCTGAGAACTTAAACTTATAGTCCTGATTTACAGATTTCTTTAGTTTGCTGGGCTGCAGTGCGGATGTGTTGTCTTGCTAGATTTAGCAGGGGTGTCTGTGAGCTCCAGGGTCCACTTCATATGGCTTTACTGTGATACTGGAGCGTCAGACTGTGCATTTCTGGGGCAAATGCTTGCTCCCTTCCTTGGAAAGTGTCTAGTGCATATGGGTACTACTCTGATGCAAAGAAGTTCTAAAAAATTGTTTCTTCAATTACAGCAGGTTTTCTGGTCAGTCTCCAAAGATACTTGCATCTCCTGTTCCAGTAAATGAATTGTTAAGACCATGGTTTCCTGTCTATCCTCCTTCCACAGACAGTTCTTTCTTTATCTCCTTGAAAAGTAACCAAGTGATAGTTTGTCCTTTTCAGATCAAAAGGAATTATTTAAGCGTGCCTTGGAAATTCCTGGGCATCTTCTCTATAGCTGAGGAGGTTCTCTGGGCTATTTTTCTCAGCTGGGGAGATATAACAGGCTTTATCTTCCCATGGTGCTTCTGTACCATTTCCAGACCCTCAAGGCTCATGGGGCAAGAATATGAGGTCAGAGATTGGATCCTGATCTGTGTGGCAGTCGGCCACACCATAACATTAGACTATGTATTACTATCATCTGAAAAGTGCAGTAAACGTGTGTGGGAGTCTGCATATAAACTTCTGTAGGAATACCATGACGTGGGATTTGATAGAGATTAAATTTTCTTAATCGGGCCCTGGCAAGACTCTCTTATACCCACCGACTCCCATTTAGAGATATAAGTGTTAAGATGTTTTAAATAAACACCCTTGAAAAATATGGAGGGTTTTTTGTGGTGTTTTTTTTTTTTTTGGAGAGGACAACCTCAAATTAGTTCCACGCAGTTCAACAGAGATTACTTCTGAAGGCAGGGAAGGACTATGTGTTTTTCTGATGTGTTGGCACAGAGCATCTCTGAAAGATACGCTGCATACAAAACATGGGTATAGCAGCACTGCTATGTATTTAGAGGACAGCTGGTGTGCCTCTGGATTTGAGATGCTCTTCAAATTTAGTGTATTGTTCAGGTTCTGTACATCTGTGTAAATAGAAGTATAATCAGCCTGCTCCCTCCTTCGTGATTATTTTGTCCACCAAGTTTTTTTTTTTAAATTCTATTGTTTCCTTCCCCTCCCTCCAGTTTTTCATTAACCCTCAGGGGGAAGAAAAAAAAAAGGGGGGGGGAGAGAGAAATCTATCCTCTTTGTGACTGCTCACTTTGTTCAGGTTTTGTAGGGGCTCACCAAATTGCTGTAAATGAACAGTTAAGTGTGGAAAAGATTAATAACCTCCTGAGTCTAAAGTTTAAAGAAAAAAAAAAAAAGTAGGCCACCTGTCAAGTTTGCCAGTCCAAGCTGAAGTTGATGGGCTCCAGAGTCATCCTGATTACTTCGTCATCCTCTTAAAAAGAAAAAAAATTTCCCTTACTGTTAGTTTCTCCCCCCCCTTTTTTTTTTCTTTTCTCCTACTTGGCAAATGTAGCTTGTTTCCTGTGTTTTCAGTTGAACTGAAATTGATATAGCTTTAAAAAGTGCGTTTGTGGGGAGAATTGTTCTGGCAGTTTCTTATAAGAATACTTGTTTTTGTAGCAGGATTGTTGATGTTTTTGTAAATTTTGGGGCTAGATCTTTAGTGGATATAAACTTGTGTTCCTACCAGTTAAGGAATTGGTCTTGGAACACTCATAGGTGGAAGCTTTAAAAACAAAGGTTTTGGTGCTCCAGCTACTGTTATTGACAGCTAATAATCTTCCTTATGTCAGCTGAAAGTTGATCTGGTTTTTATAGTTAGGGATCCCTTGTTCAGTCCCTAGTGTGAAATGGTTTCTTGCAGTAGCAGTAGACTGGTCACCAGCTGCTACTGAAGTAGAATAGAATGTTACGTTTTGTGGGTTTCCTCCTGCTTAGTTGCTTGCTTTAGCAACCAGAACTTCAGTAAAAAAGAAAGGGGCAGGGGAGAGGGAATGAAAGTTGTTTGTTACCAGTTAAATTTTTAGTTCCAAACCTATTCATCTCATAATAGCCAGAGCATAGGGTATTTGCATGAATCTAAAGGAAAAGTTCATTAGATTGTCTGTCTTAACTGATGATGCTGTGTGGTTGGTTGTGGGTTTTTTTTTTTCCCCCTTTGTTTTTTCGTGCCCCTACTTGGATATCTTCTGCTTTTTTTTCTTATTCCCTTAAACTGGTGTAAACTGTGGTGGAGTTCTATCAAACTTATTAGATATGTTTACAATAATGGTAATCTCTATTTCTTGTATGTTAGGATCCAACAAGAGTGGAGAAGACAGCAAATTACCTAAGATGTGAGAAGTCCTCCCTTGGCAAAATAAAACCTTATTTTCAAAATGGACCGAAGTAAGCGGAATTCAATAGCAGGATTTCCACCACGCTTGGAGCGCACTGAAGACTTTGATGGTGGCGCTGGAGGAGAAGGGACTGCATCCCAGATAGGAAGAGTTTGTACCTCTTCATACAGAGCCCTGATAAGTGCCTTTTCCAGACTTACTCGTCTTGATGACTTCACATGTGAGAAAATTGGCTCTGGTTTCTTCTCTGAGGTGTTCAAGGTGTGTGTTTAGTTCTTTCCTCTCTTCATGTTGATTGCTTCATGTCTGGTGCTGAGAATGTACAAGAGTATCAGCCGAAGTACTTTTCACTGAAGTCAACTGTTTGTTCTTATATTTGCTTTACTCAGGATGAGTGAATGATGAAGAACTTGCAGGTCTCAAATATGTCCTCTGTCACTCTTCCAGCTGTTTTGTATCACTTGTAATTTATTTGGGGAGTTGCAGAGGCTATTTGGGAGAAACAGTAAAAGCTAAAAAAAATTGGTTTATCTTTTGGTCTCTGCATTCATGTAGTGTATTACACACCAATGGCTATTGGTTCTCTCATAAGTGTGAATGTCTTTAATTTAGCTAGTTTATTAGTTTTGAGGGATTGTACTCATTCCTTTGGTAGTCTTTGCCTCCCAACACTAGATGCGTGTGTTAGGAGATCTACACAATTACTGAATTTGCAACCACAAATTTTATGGCAGTGAAGTTACAATACAATTAGCTGCTCTCCTCTGTTTCCTTTGCTGCTTGTTATGCCATGCATCTAACTCAAATAATCAGAGATTGGTTTGAACTAAATAGTATGAATGAGAAAATCTGATGTCGTCAGTGACTTGCTGCTATGAATCTGGGAAGTGGATAAGACCTTTGTAAAGCAATTTGTGAAACCATACAGGCAACCCCAGTTTTATAGTGCTGGTGGTATTTCTGCTGTTCTGACTGTTCTAGTACGGTTTATTGTAGAGGAATAGGACATTGAGTTGACTTCCAGGCTTTCAGGCATTGCAAAAATAATTTGTTTCCTGTCCTAGTTCCTGACTTTAAACGAAGTCACCCTCCAAATTATTTCAGTGAAATGCCAGAAAACTTTATTTCACAATATATTATGTCCATTCCATGACACTTCATGTGGTCTTTTCTTTAAGAAGTTAAACCAAAAAAACCCTCTTATCCAGCTTTATTGCTGTGAATAGCTATGTGAATTAGAAAATGAAAATTATTTTTATGTTTCTTTAATACCCAAAGGCATTCAGATTTCCATATGTACCTCTCCTTTTGTGTAAAGGCAAGTCACTCCACAGAAGTTTTTCTGTTTAGCTGGATAATATGAAATTTAATTTCCGCTAACACAAGTTTTTAATTCTTTCAAATGGGCAGACATGAAGAATTTTATTTGGGGTGTGTAGGAGACTCAGTACAGGTCAGCTCTTTATAAAGCCAGCCTGTAAACCAATTGAAAACAAGGTTTTGTTTTTGTTTTTTTGTTCGTTTGTTTTTTCTTACTTTCCTGTTTGGAAAACCTTCTGTAATGCATTTTGTAGCAACTGTCTTTGTATCCAGACATTTCTTAACGTGAAATGAACTGATTTTTAAAGTTCTGTGTGCCACTGGAACTCATCTTTACAGCTTTTATGGTGAAGCTGCTGTGAAGTGTATAAGGGTACCAATAGACTTGAATCATCTATAAGTAACTGGGGAATAACAGACCTTGGTTTATTTCTGTGAATTTCAGAATTCATGTTTTGGAATAGTTTTGTCTTAAGTTTATCTCAGTGTTGCTGATTAGACATTGTGTCTTTTCCTATTCTGTAAATTCAGGATTTTGCCCTCTTTAATACTTGGATTTTCCAGTGCTCTGATTATGAATTTATTCTGTAGTGGTATTGCCAATCATATTTATGTTGGGACTTCAAAAAGTTTTGTAGTTGAATAGCTACATACTCTCTGAACAGACTTACTGGGTGAAATAGCTATAATATTCTACAGTGCATTGGTGAGGAACATCATGGAGAAGCGCCCTGAGGCAAGGTGCTTGCATATCCAGCAGAAAGGTATGGTATTATTGATTGTTAGGAAACAAAAGTAGGTGGGGGAAAAAAGTGGCTAAAAGTAAAGGTAAATTTCCAGCATTCATAGTAATTGATTTATTAAGAATATCTTATTTTAAGAGAGCACTTGGTTTACTCAGGTAGTGGCATACACAGGTGAACATCTGTTTGAGAACTTGTGTTGATTGAGAGAAATCCTTGATACCCGATTTACCTTCCTGTGCATAAGTAAGTATGCTAACTCTTTAAAAACCTTCCCCTGCCATTCCCCTTTCAGTAAGCTGAACTGGACATCACATGGTGTCAGTCTGCAATCAGTGGCATTACTGTAAGAGAGTGATGGTAGTAGTCTGAGTATCTAGTGTCTGTTTTCCCAGAAACAACCACAGACCTCCTGCAGGGAGACAATGAGTGATAAAGCTTTTTCTTTCACATCAGTTTCAAACAAGGTCTCGCTTCAGTTTTGGCACAAAGGCGTGAGAATGCATTATGACCTTATCTTAGATGCAGTTCCATACTCATTTAAGCAGGTTTCTGTTCTGCTAGTTTATCAGCCTGACCACCTCTGTCATTAATCCTACTGTGCTGATGATCAGATTTCATGCAAGAACCTTGATGTGCTTCCAGGAGGGAGAGCCTCATGGTTTGACACAGTTAAAGTTCAGTCTGATCTGCAGGCTCCCAGCTAAATGATTGAACTTGAGAAAAATCCAGGATAGTTCTAGACTTACTGGATAAGTAACTTTACAAGAGCAATGAAGCCTTCCCTTTAAATTAGCAAAGGTGTCTCAAAAAACCCCATGTCACCAGAGCTTTTTCAATTATGTATTTGTCTATTGTTTTGTGAGTATCATACGTTGTGTTCACTTAAGTGATTTAGCAAAGAACACTTGGACTGTTTTGAGGGTTTGGGATTTTTGTTTTGCTATGTAACTGACAATTGTTTTCAGTGATTTCTTCCCCTCCATCCTTTTCTATGTAAACTCCTTTTTAAATATAATCTATCACAGTGGATGTGGATAGAAGTTGCCTTCTCTTAACTTGGGAATAGGAGTACATTACAGCTTAGATGTATATATTAATGGTCATATGTGCTATGAATGATTTTTTTAGCATTTCTAGTGCACCTTTATTCATACACAAATTAAACTTTGTGGTTTATTCAGCATAAAGTATTAAACTAGCATTTTGATTTTGTTAGCCATCATTATAACACTTCCAATTCATGTTCACCTGAATACTAAATATTATAGAAACTAGTTGAGAAAAAATAAACTTTGTCAAACTATTAGCAATCTAGTTTGAAGCAGCTGACTGACTAGTGCCTGTTCTAATTTTCAACTGCAAGTGCAGCACACTGAGGTTTGCTTTTAAGATTGAGCTAGGCAAAGACTGTTTGTGTCAATGAACAATGCCCAGCCATGATCCCAAACCTTTAAATTCCTAGCTTGGAAGACCAGTAAGGGCTGATTGAGCTATAAGTAATTGTGGGGGAGATAAGCATCATACTGAAACTAAATACCGTATTTGGAAATAGATACTATTCATTATAAAATTTGTGTTGGAACAGCAGTCAGACTAAAATCGAGGATCTTTTTCTAGTCAAATATACCTTCAGGTTCAAAGCCAGTACTAAATATTCAAGTTGCTGTAAAATTCCTTCAGGTGTTCTTGTGGCTCTGCATTCTGTAGCTGAACTTTTGAGAGAGACTGGAAATACTTCAGCACTTTGGCTGAATGTTAAAAATGGACTTTTTGCAGTTTATTATTCATGTATACATGAAAACAGGGATCATTGATCCAATATAGAATTGTGCAGTGTTCCGTGTGTTTGCATGTTGGGAAGGTCGTGTTGCTGTACAGGTGTGGTCACTAGGGAATTTGAGGGTTTTGACAGTTGAGGAATGGTGAAGTCTTTTGACATCCAGGGAAGAATTCATGGTTTTGTCTTGGGAAGTTCTGGATGCTAGAATAGTTATTTCACTGCAGACAGTTCTTCTACTGTTTTAAATATGCCTAGCCATCTAATTAGCAGTACTATCAGAAGATAATTCAAAAGGAGGAAAACAATTTATGTTTGGGTCACTCTGATTAGCTCTGTAGTGCAGGGACACCTCACTGCTATTGTAATGATGGGCTTAACTGTTGAAAGCTCCCCCTTCCCCAATAGCTAGAGAGTTGACATATGTATAACAAGGAGAAAAATAATTTCTATTTGTAAGGGAACATGCTCTGACAAAACTGCTAAAGCTAGTGCAGCCTTCCAAAGATTATCTTTGGGACAGGCAGAGATCAAATTTGAAGACAGACTTCAAGTCAACAAGGCCACAGTCTTGACCACCTGGAACTGTGCTTCTAACCTTGCAGGAGTCAAGAGATTTACTATTTGAAATTAGTCATCGGAGAAAAAAAATCCATCTTATGAAATACAAACTGTACTGACATATTGCTTAGAGTATCTTAAGCATATACCTGGGAAGGTTATTCATGTAAGCAGTGAAAAAGGTGCATAATACTTTAAAAAAAAAAAATCAGTTAATGAAATATTTGTTTAATGGTGGATGGGCAAAGACGAGCCTATGAATATCATAGAATCGTTTACGTTGGAAAAGACCTTTAAGATCATCAAGTCCAACCGTTAACCTAGCACTGCCAAGTCCACCACTAAACTATGTCCCTAAGCACCACATCTACATGTCTTTTAAATACCTCCAGCGAAGGTGACTCAACCGCTTCCCTGGGCAGCCTGTTCCAATGCTTGGCAACCCTTTCAGTGAAGAAATTTTTCCTAATATCCAATCTAAACTTCCCCTGGCGCAACTTGAGGCCATTTCCCCTTGTCCTATCACTTGTTACTTGGGAGAAGAGACCGACACCCACCTCGCTATAACCTGTATAAGTCATAATGCAAAATAAACTGCCTTTTAGAGCCGAAATACTAAGCAGCTGAGCACGGGCGCCTCCAAAGAGAAATTTTGAGATGGAAATCAGCCCTCCCATTTCAGCATACTTACTGAGAACACCAAGCTCTAAGCACTCAGTTTATGGTCCCCTATAACTTGAGATCCTTTCTGTAGAACTTCTGGCTACGCAGTTTTCCCATTTTTGCACTTGTGCAGCAGATATTACCTAGTAATCCCTACTGGGTTAATTAATGCTGCTTTTTTTCCCCCTTTTTTT